TTGTCAGGCTTTCCGTCTTGCACTAGGGTCACCTCTTCAGATCAAAGAAACAAAATCAGGTTCTGGACATGAATCCTAGCTCCTTTGAAGTTTAAACTTCCCTCTCCACCACATCAATAACGAGGGACTCAATGACCATCCATTGAGGTGCTTCCACAAGCAGCACCAGCTTCCGTTGCTCTTTGAGAACCCCTGAGAACCCCACCACCTTTTAATGTAGAAAGGAAGCTCATGGAAGTTGGACTGAGCCAGGATTTGTTTGTTGTTTTTTGGTTTTGTTTTGTTTTGTTTTTGTACCAAGGACTGAACCCAGGAGCACTTTGCCACTGAACTGCATCCCCAACCCTATTTATTTATTTGTTTGTTTTTGAAACAGGGCCAAAATTGCTCAGGTTGACTTTGAACCTGCGCTCCTCCTGCCTCAGCCTCCTGAGTGTCTGGGATTGTAGGTAGCATGCACCACCACCCCGCAGACTGAGCCTTTTTTAACCTATCTGATCTGACTTGAAAAAGAGGGTTGGTTTTCCACAGAGAAAATAATTAGGAGAAATAAGGAAATGGAAACTATTTTCAAAGGGCTATTTAATGTTCCCTTTATTATAGTAAAAAAGGAGTAAGAGAATGAAGCATGTCAGAATCTGTGATTTATTGGCCACCATGGAATATCATAAAAGTTCAGAAACAGCTCCTAATCAGAAAACACAAAACCAGATTAACCAATCTTACAAATTCAGGTGGGAAAATGGAGATAGTACAACCTGTTGGAAGTGACTCTCACTCCAGTCTCTTGAGACTGAATAGTAATCATACCGTCGCTCCCGCTCCCCGTGTGTCAGGGATAAAATGTTCCTCTTCCAAAAGTACCTCTTCAAAGGAGGCCCAGAAAGACAACCCGAGGTGGAGACACAACTGTTATTCTAATTATTTACATTCAGAGCTCCTCTGCAGAGATCTCATTTGAAGTGATGAAGGTTATTCTCTAAATGCCACTGTTTAGCCACCAAATCTATTAGCAGAAAGCCCCTGGTGCTTTATCTTTAGGATTCCAGTGTGCTTCCAGTACTGTTTTTATGGTTATCAGCAATAAAAAGGTGATTCCTCCCAGTGCTTTGGGTTTGGTAGAATCAGATTTACTGGCTGGCCTCTCAACCTTATTCCCAAGTAGAGTGTAATAGGGAAAGGCAAAGCTCTTTCAAGTCCCCATGGATTCCTGTGGCAAGGTGGTGAAAATTTTGTTTTCTTTACTACTTTCCATTTCATAAGAGAAATAGTCTCAAGGAGAGGATTTCTAATGCAATTTTGTTAGATACAGTCCATTAAATATGTAGGGCTGGATTTCCAACTTCTGTCTGTAGCCCTAAGGGAGAACTCTCCCTTTGTCATGGAAGCCCAGGGGAAGAGTTGGTCTGTGCTGTTTTATGAATTAAAAATCCAGAAGGGGAATACTTTTTCCATTTTAAAGCCAGGAGGAGATCTGGGGACTTTCACACTTACGCGCTATAGGAATGGCCTAGATTTTACAGTCCTGTGCACCTAGGATAGTCTTAGTACAACCTGATATTTATTATTTCTGCTGATAATTAAGATATAAGACAGATAGATGCCTGCATGCATGCATGAACGCATTTAAGGACAATATAACCTGCTGTTGTGCATAACCAGAAAAGTGATGAGCAAGCAGCGTTAGGTTCTTCTTCTGTCTTTGGACCTCCGGGGGCAGAAAAGTGTTGATTTAAAATGTTGGCCTTAGGCTGAGGATATGGCTCTGTGATACAGCGCTTGCACCCACACACACGGCTCAATTGTTAGCCTTAAAAAATGTATAGTCTTGTGTTTTTCTGGAGAGCTCTAAGGATAGGCCTTATTAGAAAAGGTTGAGAAAATTAGGAAAGGCTCTAACTTCAGTGGTGTTAGAAAGAGTTGCAAAATTAGGAAATTGTTTGGAGGCCCTCTAGAATCACAGTGTTGCTGGGAAGGTCTAGAAAATTATCGTGGAGAGAGGACAAAGATTTCCAGAGCACTAGGCCTTACTACCCCCCGACCCCCAATATATTTTCCATCCTTTCCAAAATGAGCGAGACCTGCCAAGAGGCCATGGGGCTTTAGAATACATTAACACTCCTCAGCTCGCCAGTCTGCTGGAATGGTTAGCAGACGACCACAGGCCCTGGAGCCCCAGTGTCGGCTCCCACCCAAACCCTGCTGCTGGTACTATGTGACCCAGGCCAGGCGACATCACTCCTCACTGCCTCGGCGTCCTCATTATTCAAGTGGGGTTGTCACAATTAAGCGATGAGATCTGAGTGATGGGTTTAACGCGGTGCCCTGCCACATGGCAAGTACTTGATGACATCCCACTAAACCAAAATGTCACCACCAAACTGCAGCTGTCAGTTATCTCACTTGTAAAGTGGAAGAGCCAATGACTACCTTTCAACATTCCTGGGCACATTGGGGGTGATGATGTACCTTCCCTCTGGGTGTCTCACAAGGGTGGTGGCCCTCACTGTTGTGGCCATCACTGTTACGAGCATCGTCTCAGATCCCGAGTATTCATCTCAGGAGGACCCAGGAAGGTTGCAGCTTCCTGAAGACATTCGAGCTGCCTCATGGGCACACAGCCAGTGCAGGTACATGAGGTTCAGCATTTAAAGCACTCAGCTATTGCCCTGCTGAAACTCTTCATAATATTGAATAAGTAGCCCCAACTTTTACTTTTGCACCAAGATTCACAAATTATGTAGGTGGTCCTGCAGACAAGCTAGTGCAGACAACTTGGTTTGGTAAGCCTTGTCCACCAGGTGTAGTTCTTTACTTAGCATAGGTTTGCAGTAAGGATTTGTTAAATAGAATCGACATTATCACCGATGAATAATACCATGAAATTCACTTCTTCAAGGCCCACTCTTGAAATCAAAGCTCTGCCTGAGCTTCTATTCTGTGGGCAAACCTTTGGCCAATTCCAAGGGTCAATGTTTATTTCAATGGATGGAGTATTTATAGGATCTCCATTAATACATTCAGACAGGAAGATTGTTAAAAAATTAGACGTTAAAAACAATTTTGGAGCAGGTTAAAAGGTGCGAAATTTTAGCAAAATCACTTGGGAAAAAATGGTTTCTGGTGTTTTTAATACTGGCACAGTTAGCAACTGACTTTAAATACCTTCTTGATCAACATAGAAATGGTTTTTCATTTCAAGAGAAAGGAATTAGATTATAATACCATTAACCACTACACATTGTAGAAGTACCTATTATAAAAGAAAATCCTTTCTAAGTTTTGCCATTCTAGATCTAAACTTCTTTCACAGAAATAATCAAATACTACACTTGATCTCGTTTTGGAATATTAATGGGATTGAAATAAGCTTCAAATTTTCCTTTGACTTACTAAGTTAGAAAGTCAAAGTGCTAAAAATATACTTGTTCTTCAAAATAGACTGAAATGGATAACTGTAAAAAAGATTTTTTTTTTTTGGTTTTGTGCAGGAGGAATGTAACTTAAAGTAAAAGGATCTATTGGGAGAAATTTAAACCAATTGTAATGCAGAATTTGGCTTTGTATATAAACATATGTCTATATTCATCATGTAGCTTTCGTTGTCAAAAATATCTTAAAACTTGTTCAGTCAGAGAAAGTATCAATAACATAAAATTTCACAGCCCCCTTTTAGAACTGTGGCCTTAACATTTTGTAGGGAAATAAAGCTTTGGTTAACCTTGGCTCTGGCAGACCTCATTAAAATAACAGCCTGTCAGTTTCAAGTTTAAAATAACAGGGTTGTCAGTTTTATATGCAGTGGAACAATCTACAATTTTATTCCCTGGGACAAGACTGTGTGGAGGGGCAGAAGGTGGGTAAAGATTGGACAACACTGCCATCTGGTGGCCAGAGTGAAAGTGGCTTCTAAATACCTGCAGGTGAAGTTGGATTGCCTTGAAGGAAAAGTTGGGATTTCAGGTCGACTTGAGCAACATTTTGTATTGCTTTTTGACTGACTTTTGTCTTTAAAATGTATACACATTCTCAGAGCCAATATGAAACTTATAATCTCAAAATTACAGTAATCTTCTGCTCTTCGGTAATGTGTATTTCAATGACCTGATACAATTAATTTGCAAGCATGGGATCCTATGGGGGAAAAATAAGATCCAACAAAATTTTTTCAAATATTTTCCTTTATAAAAACTGCCACATAACTGGTGCCTTTTAACGTAAGGTGGAAATTTATCAAACTTGTTTATACATGATTTGTGTACTTTTCTGGATGATTTTAATACTTGAGTAAAAAATAAATGCAAGCCAAAATATCTCTGTCTGTAGGCAAAATTTTGACAGATGTCACAAATCTGATGGCAATGTGTTCTCATTTATATAATGGAAAGCAATTCTAGACATAGAGTGGATCCCAAACAGGCTTCTAACATAACTTCAGTTTAGTTCTTTCTTCATGCACTTTGGGCAGTTGATTGGGAGTTACAATGGGGATAGGAAATGGCATCAGAGAAAAGAGATAAACACAAGTACTATTGATTTAAAGTGCCACCTATTCAAGAAGTTTACATGGAGATGCTGAGTTCTCTAATGTAAAGCTAATAGCCTGCCCTCCATTCAAACCACAAACCCTAGTCTGGCAACTGTGTTTATCCCCTCTTGACTAGTCCCTTCTCCTGATGTGCCCAGGACAGATCTTAGACTGTGTTCTCCGTGTGGTAGCCACCAGGAAGCTGTGGCTATTGAGTACTGGAAATGTGCTGTAAGTCAAAATCCGCAGCCACTAGCCTACTGCAGCTACTGAGCACTGGACGTGTCCCTGGGGTGAACTGAGATGGACTGTAAGACACAATACAAGCCGGATTTCCAAGACTTAGCATAAAAATGAATGTTAATGATCTCATTATACATTTTCACAATCATATGATGAAGCCATAATATTTGGAGGGGTTGGTGTAAATAAAATGCATTAATAAAATTAACTTCAGTTCACAATTCTAATGTAGCTATTAGGAAATTTTTAATTACATACGTAGCTCACAATTGTAGCTTGCATTGTATTCCCGGTGGATATCTCTCCTTAGACTCTGATTGCTTCCTTGCCCAGAATGGCCATTCTGCCATTTTTCAAGGTGGTTCCTCTTCCACTAGAGCTAAAACAGGGCATATCTGTCATCTCTGCAGTTGTAGGGGACTCAGGGCACCCATAGAGGTTATCAGATGCTTAAGATATAAAGGTAAAAGTCAAATACTATTGTGTCACTTGGGTCCGATCATAAGAGGAGTAGATGGCTCTCCCTAGTTGGTGCCCCATGGGGTAAATTGGATCTTTAAGGTAACCAGATGGCTCCCAGGAACAGGTAATTTACCTCACAGGGGTAAGAGCTTGATTTCCAAAAGGGAGTGCAGTTTAGTCACCCTATGCCATCTGTCCCTGGGGTGATGTTTCTACTCATTAAGAACTTTCGGTTCCAAGGACCCTAGCAATATATTAACTTACTAAGTTTTATTGAATCCTTAAGAGAGAGCTGAAAAGAAGGAGGCATTGTCCTCCACCTTGAAAACCAGTTTGTAGGGAGATTACTCAACTTTGCCAAAGTCACGGTTTTGGCAAACACTTTTCCATGCACCTCCCTTTTGGTCTCCCCTATGGAGGGAACTTTGCGTCTCTGAGCTTTTGCCACTCAGGGTTCCTCTGCCAAGAAAAGCTCCTTCCAACTCTATGGCCTGAAATTGCTGTTTGTCCTTCAAGGTCCATTTTAATCGCCACTTCTCCCCTGAAGCCTTCCTATAGCCCTCTCCCTTCTTTATAATAAAATATTTACAGTTACTTCTCCCAAACACACTACAACCATTAAACATAAGAGACATTTATTATGTTTATTTATATGTACGTATCTTCGTTCCATGAGTGGTAGGTTTGATGAAGTTAGTATCAAATCTTACACATTCCCAGGATCTTTAAAGTGCAGGTGCATTGTAGATTCTAAACAAGGGTGTGTGTGTGTGTGTGTGTGTGTGTGTGTGTGTTGGGGGTGGGGGACACATGCACGTGCACAAATGTGTTTATTTTGATGAACTGACTCCCAAAAATAGGCCCTAAGCCACCATTTCTCCATAAAATATACAGGTTTACAAGGAAGATGTCCCCTCCAATAGCAATCAGTTTATTTTGATTGCTAGAATTTACATTTCTAGAATTTACATTTCATTCACGATTTAATTTGGAGTTTCAGAAATTAAAATCTTCCTATATTCTTCATTCTTTCATTGACTATCAATCAAGTACTACTATAATCAAGCACTGTGCTAAGAGGCGGGACACACATACTCTAGTATGTAGTTAACACAAAAGGAAAGCAGCTGTATCTCTATAACCTCTGCAGGCAAGGAGGGAAGACCCACAAGCATAATGAACAGGGAAATCTTTGTGGCAGGAAAGAACACAAAGGGATAACTGAGAACATGTCCTTATGGAGAGGCCCTGTTGGCTCTGGGTATCAAGGTAGGAGCACTACAAGAAAGATGGTGAAGTAGAGTACCACAGAGTTATCCACAAGAGCCTGCTCTTCTTCTCCCACTCTGCAGTCTCCATGTTTGTGTTAGAGTTCAGAGGCTTGCTTGGGGCCTTTGAGCTACTTTCCTGGGTGTGTATAGTAGCATTTCACTCTGTTCTTCCTAGAAGGCCCTTAAGCCAAATTCACTAGCATTTAAACTCAAACCAATTTCCAGCTCAACCCATGAAGGAAAAAGCAAGACATTGTGTTCTATCATAAGTGTAAAACTACAATGCCAAAGAGGCACATATTATGTAGCACTCAGTACATGTCTACAGAGTTAAGTACAAATCAAATCACATATGCCCCAAAAAGATTTATCTGCGTCTTACTTCCTGTTCCACAAAAGATGTAAGGACAACTCATCTCTACCCTAAATGGCTTTAGTACTTGATAAATCTGCTGTCTGCTTACCACTTGCAGAAGATGTTTTCCTATACTGCATCTAATCCACCTTTCAATATGTGTTCCACCACTCTGGGTTGAGCAAGAAGATTTTTTCTGTTTCTTGTTAAACATCAACTATCTGAATGGCTTCAGAGAAAGAAACCAGAATACACATCTGTATCCCAGTTCTGGTGTGGGAGACTAAAGCCCCAAGTGTTCAGAATTAAATGATAAATTCTAAAATGCTGAAGATTGCCTGAGCTCTAGGTGAAACATTTCTCTCCGCCTCCTCCCCCTTCTCTAATTAGCAGACATACTTGTAATGTCCTGGATTTTGTTTCCTGAAGCTGAGATTTCAATATCATGAGAGTCACTTCAGGTGGTTATGAGCTTAACAGAATCCCTGTGTTATGTCAATCCCGAAGAAGTGGAGCTCAAGCCTCTGTGTGGATTCTCTGGGTGCCATCAAAGCCCCTGTGAAGGGGAGGTACGCTTGAAGTAATAGCTAGCAAAGAACAGGAATTCTTCAGCAACGCCACGATTCACAACATCCAGCTTTTCTCTTTCACATTGGCAAAATTAGACTCTAAACTTTCCCTAGCAGTTTTCTAAATCAGTGCTAATTTCTAGGCTAATGCTGTTAAGGGGTTCAATCCACAACACTACCATGATCCTGTCGGCGACGGCAAGAAATAGAAGAAAGCTGCCTTTCAAACCATGAAGAAATCCCCAGAGTTTTCATTCTATAAAGATGATAGAATAGACGATGGTGAGAGCAGTTTTTAAATATCCACACTGCTTCAACATGCCTCATCTAACTACTAGGAATGCTGCGTCTCTCTTTGTTTGAGGCTGCACCTGAGATCTCTGCCCAGCAGGCTAAAGAGGGCTTCTAATAACCTCATTTAGAGTCAGCCTTGGTCCCAAATCATGCCCCAGATGAGAGCAGCTCCTCCAGAATGTCTGTCTTCACAGCTGAAACCATGTGAAGAAATGGTAGAGGCCAAGGTCAGCCACCAACAAGGACAGAGCCAGTGTCCACGTGGAGAGCAGAGGCTACACACGCCCACCATCAACAATGAAGCAGAAGCAGGCGGCAGAGAAAGCTGAGCTCACTCTTGGAGTGTGAAACCAGCTGACGTTCAGGGAGGAACCGAGCAGACCAGGACATAAAGTTGGAGCCTTGGTCTTGATGCCAATCACAGGAGGAGGGACAGGATGATGGCCATAACAACCTCCAGAACTGCCCAGAGAGAAGTGACTTACTATGGGCCAAGCGGCCATTGCTGAGTCCTCTCTCATGGATGTTGATATGCAGCACAGAAAACTCATAATGGAGTTTGAGTGAGTCTGCTGAGAACCCTCTAGAAGCTTTGGACCGTGGGAGTTCTGTTGAACTTCAAAATTCCATGATCCAGCAATAAGACCAGTCCTCAAAGTCATTTCAGACCTGGTATTCTTGAGAAGTAAATAGCACCACAACTGAGTTGCCTGCCACGCAAAGAAATTCTTTGGTTTCATCAGAATAAATAACTTTCTTTTTCTCTCCTCTGTTGAATTCAATAGATGTTGTTAGTTCGGTGCCAAACTGCGTCATCCCTTGATGGCCTGTGGAACATTTACTAACTTGTCTAAAATGGAACACTGTACAAAATGGGCCACCATCAGAATATTAGGTGTACAAACGAAGCACTGAAAGTTTGTTGTTGTTTTCTTAAAACCTGATGCAGAAATCTGATCTGAAAAGCACAGAAAGATATTTATGATGTTTCCCATATTTATTTCACTTTGGGATCAGTGTTTTGCCAGAAAAGGACCCCATCTGTCTTTTCAAGGTCATGCCCTTCATAGAGTGGGCTCATCTAGCCAAGAAATTCCAATGGGAAGCCAGAAGAGGCTAATTCAGACTCTTCAAATTTTTCATCCAATTCCCGATCCCCTGAGAAAGTCAACAAAACTAAGCATTGTCTTTTTGAAACTTCAGAGATTCTCTCACTTCCTACCGGGTTTTTTTTTTTTTTTATCCTCCTTCATTTTTCCTGAAAAATGCATGGGTGTCATGTTAAAAGTACCATGCCACGGGGGAAATGTATGTCGCATGGTAACAGACTCGAAGTTGCTATTGAATTCCCTGGGAATATCTAATGCAGCCCAGAATGTGGGCCGGTTTTAGGTTGCACGGTGACTCAAGGACTCTGTGGAATGCTGCTCGTATTATGTGGGCAAAATCTGCCTTAGGTTCACTGACAGGCTGGATTCCATAAGAGCCCTGCTGCTGTCCCCAGACAGACTTAGAAGTTTCCTGAAAGAGAAAGCGTTACAAGGTGATTTCTCCACCAGTGTTACGGAGCTCACCCAAACATCACACTGCAGACAGGCACAGTCTGAGACGTGAAGAATAACACCAAAGAGTTTCACAAACTCATAGTAAATGGGACGCTGATGTTGTGTGAGCCGAGTGCTAAAAGCTACTTTCAGAAGACATGGATTTCAGTCTAGGCTTCCACACAATTGGAGCAAGTAGACTGAGCCTGTGATGGCTCCAGTTTCCTCGCTGAGCCAGAAGGCATTAGTAAGCCCTACTTCCTCCCAGGGTACTAGGGAGGTGGTATTCATAGACATTTGGCCATGTCAGAAAAATCAGTATTCCCTCCGAGTGTTCGGGAGTCTAAACACGGTGCTCCCGACGGCACCAGTTCTGAATCGTGTGGAAGGGCGCTGCTCGACTCTTAAAGCAGCACACAGGGCTTGAATCCTGACACAGGGTCACAGTGAGTGACTTGGGGCTCCAAGACAAGGTCATTCTCCTCCAGAGTAAAGCTGGGCAAGCTCTCTGTTTCCAAAGCTGGATTATTAAACTCTTAGGATGCAAGACTGGTTTATGCATCACAAATTTCCCTTAAGTTGACCAAGGAAAGTGGCCTCATCTAGGAGGTAAAAGGCAGGCCACCTTCATTTCTTCAAACAGATTGCTTTCCAAAGCTAACAAATGACCTTCAGACTATAAAATATTCACATTGTTTTTTTTTTCCTTTAAGATGTATTATTTAGTGTGTAGCCCTTTAAATATTAATCGTCTTTTTTTTTCCTTAAAGATTTGGTATATATTATTTACATCCGGTTACATTATGTTTTTATACACATGAAATAGGCACGTGGTAATCTTTCTGAAGTCAGAGCAAATAGGGGATGGGGGCCAAGTGCACACAACAGGTACCCAGGGAAGAGAGTTCCGATCCAGGGACGGTTGAGGTAGGACAGCAGATGGGCCTTTCACAGTGGCTGCCCAGGGACAATCCAGGGGAAGTAAAGCATCCAGGGAAACAGACTTTGGGCCTCAGGTGGATGGACAGACAGCCATGGGCGAATCTCTTGAAGGAGAAAGTCCAATAAGATGGAATTGGCTCCATTTCTGGTTAGATTGTTGTGTATCTCCCCCAAGCTAAGATTGCCTCTGAGGCCTCTGAGGCTCTTCATACCTGTGTAAATGACACCGGGAATGACATTTAGGGTGACGGGAACCTAGAATCCTAATTAGGGGATGGGAGACATCACCTGAGATCCCTCTTGCTGCAGGGGTAGTCAGGTCAAGGAAATACACTTTTTTTTCTAATGGCCTGACTGAATTTACCCAAGCCTTCCTTATTCTCCAAAGGAAAAGCCCAGACAGTGTAGCTGGCAGAAAATCGATAATTTTTGAAATCTTACTTCCCTTAGCAGATAATTGGCAATGCTGTTCATGTAAGTATTCATTCAACAAATATTTATTAAGCATCAGCTACACACAAAGCACTGTTTGCCGAGTCTTGGGCGGTGGAGCAGATACCCCCCAGGAGTTAGGAACGTGCGGCTCCTCCTTAGCGGAAGACCAGTAGCTAAAAGCAATGGCTTCTGCCCATGTCAACTCATCCTGTTCTTGGAGGTAAAAACTTGGGAAGACACAAGGCCTTTTTTTGTTTTGAATCCCTCTGGATAGAATTAGTAATTATCTTGCTTCCTAATCGTTCCCATGACAGACTTTAGCAGTCACAAAGAGCAAATATCATCAGTGAAGTTTTACTTGCTTGGAAGGGAATATGGTGTTTCCCAGAAAGAACATTTCCAGACAAATTGGTGTCAGTGTGCCCATAGTCCTGTGCTTCCCCGCGAATGGAATGTGCTCTGTATCTGCTCACCCCACCAGGCAGCGCCAGTAGGAACTCTTCAAGGGTGACAACTCTGTGCTAGTCATCTTTGTATTTCGAGTGTAGCATGAACCTGACTCATAAAAAATACATATGAGCAACAAAAAAACCTTTTTCTTATTTGACCAACGTGTTGGAACTTTTTCTAAATTTTATTACACTTCCCTGTCTTGTTAAACTGATTTCACTGCAAGTTACTGAATTTTTCCTTGTTAAGTCGTTGATTCAAAATATATTATGTGAGTCCCTGTACCTCTATCAGCAACATATTCAGGATCACAGACACCCAGCATACTTATAATTATTTATGCATGAATTATGTATTAGTACTGCTGAACTAATACATTCTGTACCTTGTGAAGTTCGTGCAAAATAGAGACTTTTGAAGGATGAGATTAAGATAAAACAAAGAATCATTATTATTTTTACTTTGTAACATCACAGATATAGCAAGAAGAAGCTAGGAGAATTTTGAATGCTTTCAACAACAAGAAATAATAAGTGTTCGAGGAGATAGATGTGATTTGAACATGACATCTATCAAGATATCAAGAAGCATATGTACTCCATAAATATGTTCAATTACAATGTGTCAATTAAAATAACAAAAATCTTTAAAAGAGTAAGAGAAATATAGTAGACTCCTCCCAACACACAAACACACACATACACACACACACACACACACACACACACTCACTATGATTTCCCCTTTTGCAGGTTCAGTTGCCAATGGTCAACCATGACTCAAAAATATTACATGAAAAATTCCAGAAATAAATACTTCAAAAGTTTCAGTTGCACATTTTTCTGAGTAGCATGATGAAATCTCAGGCCATCCTCTTCATCCCACCCAGGAAGTGGATCTTCCCTTTGTCTGGTTTATCCACTCTATCCATGCTACCTCACCTGCATTGGAATAGCTGGGTGATCCAGGATCACCCAGACGGGTAGGACTCAGCCTACTGCACCCTCAAAGAGGTCAATGGCAGCCTGAAGTTGTGTCACAGTGCCTACGTCATGTACCTCCCTTCATCACACCCTGTAGGAATTACCCAATCTCATATTACCCAAGCAAAAATGTTAACTCACTATAATAGGATGTCTTGAGACAGATAGACTACATCCAACTAACTTTAATTACAGCACATTGTTATAACTCTTCTATTTTATTATTGTTGTTGATATTCTCCTACAGAGCCTAATCTACAAATTAAGCTTTACCATGGACATGTATGTATAGGAAAAGACACGGTCTATAGTAGGGCTTTTTATTATCCCTGGTTTCAAGCATCTATGGGGGTTCTGGGGCCAGAGGGCTCCTGTATTCTGCCTGATATTTCATCCTTCACTTGATCTTGCATTGTTTGAAATGAATCGAAAGTTTTCCTTAAAAGCCATTTTCCATTGAATGAGTTAGTTAAAACCAGGTAATCTAATCTATAAACACATTTAACTACGTATGTGCTCTGTCAATATACCAGCAGCAAGCTAATGGAAGTGGAAACGTGAAAAGCTTTCTCCTTCCGTAGGATGACTGAGAGATGGACATCGTCATATAGACTGACTGAAAACATCCATCTCTCAATGAAATATTAATAAAGCTTAATTTCTCTTGTGTTCTTATATTTTAGAAATAGAAATGGAACTTCTAGTGTTTTTATCCTGAGTCACACTGAATCACTTGCATGTCCCCAGAGAGGCACACCCAGCCTCACCAGCCCAGCATACGTATTTGGAAGACCAGAGCTGTAAGCAACAACACTATTAAGCCTAGTAGTTAAGAATGACAATTTCCAAGTCTACATTTGAACTTGAATCTCACTCCATCATTTACTAGATTTGTGACAAGTTTTTGAGCCTCCCTAAGCCTCTGTTTCTCAATTGCATGAAGAATATAATAACAATATTCTAGCACAGAGGTGTAAAGATTGACCAAGTGTCCCAGCTTAATGACAGCTCATGGTTAGCCTTACTGCTGCGCATCAACGATGACCCTACACCTTAAACTCACCCAGTGAGGCTCTTAAAAGTCACAGGCCTTGACAACAGTGTCTTATTTCTTCATTATCTTTAACTTTTTCAAACTATACTAAAGTGGCCAAAAATATCAGTAAAATTTAATACATCCATAAACCACTTGCATAAACTCAATAATAGTTGAGGGGTTTTCTGTTTTCAGGCAAGACACAATGACATTCTATCCCTAGATATCTCAGCATGAATCTCCTGCAGGTAATAGCAGTCTCCTACATGACCACAACATCAAGATCATGCTTAAGAAAATTAACAGTAATTCAGCAGCGCCAGCTGCTCTCTGTTCTATATTCCCAGTCTCCTGGTTGTTTCAAAACTCAGAGCTGTGTGCCTGCTTCCAAATCCAGGACTCAGTGAAGGTCTTACACTTGGCATTTGATTGTTGTGTTTTTAGTTTCTTTTCACCCAGAGCAGTCTTCCTGCCTCTGTTGATTTATTTATTTACTTGGGCTCTTTTGAAGAATGGAGCCAGTTGTCTTATGTAATGTCTCATTCATTGGTGTGTCTGATCATTTATTTAGGATACTACTGATTTGTTCCTCTATCCTTAGTATTTCCTGTAAACTAGAGAGGAAGTAAGAAATTTGATGAGATTCAAGTAAAGTATTTGGGCACAATTATTTTTTATGTGAAATAGTGAGATAAGAGTGGCATTAGCAGTCACTCTGCCTTGTCAACTTCTTCCTTCTTTGTCTAATTGTACAGTGTGTAGGGTTAGGTACAAGAGGGTGCCACTGTCTTCCCACAGAGCATTTTCATGGACCTTTCTGACGGGATTTAAATGGAGCGTGTGCATCTCTATTGAAGTCAGTCGTGGAAATTGTCAGGAATAAGAAGGAACTCCACATAAATCCTAAATGAGGGCTCAGGTTTTCCCTGTGAACTTCAACAGTATATATTTGGATCAGATTCCATAGCGTAGGTGGAAAAATTTAACACTTAAGTCTTAATAACATCAGTAATTCAACAGCATAGCTCATATACTATTGGACTAACAGTAAATAACATTAGCAAGTACCGTTGAGAGTTCCTTCATCCTAGAATAGTTCATTGGTGAAGCAGACAAAGAAACATTATTATAAATTTTGTATTTGATCCCGTTTGTCTCTACCACATTTTTGTGTTGTTAATGAATTAGGGCTCCTTGTTATTGTCGGCAATATAGTTGTACCAAGAGTGCTGTTTAATCTAAAGCTCAGCTCACAGTTGTGTGCAGTTAAGTTACCAGGAAAAACAAAACAAAACTCAGGTCTGGAGCTACAGTACAGCAGTTATCTAGATTGTTCAGAAATTTTAAAAAAAAAAAAAGTAAAACAAGAAAATATTTCTAAACAATGTGAGGATGGAAAAACTTTCCTGATACTGAAAAATAAGCTGCAATCATTCAGACATGCTTGAGAATCAAAGGCATGTTCTATTGCAGTGGCTAATAGCATCCATTTGTTCAGCTGTCTGCCTCAGCATCACAGTCTGGAGGTGAATTGGCCAGCTTCCCTGCAGAATGTTAAAACAGCATTTACATTTCTCACTGCTCCTTTGCTGTTATCTCCTTCAATTGAACAATGAAAACGCACAGCTACCAAAATGCCAGAGCGAACATGTCCTGATTCTAAAATGTGCTGCAGTGAAAAATTACAGAGGACCACTCTCCCATCCTCACGAGGGGCTCCCCACGAGGGGCTCCCCACGTGGCCAGGTATGTGTCCCCTTCTCCTTCCAGCCCTTTTGGAATGAAGATCACATGTTATTGAGATCCCCAGATATTTAGTGTTAGTGATATCATCTATGACCTTGTAACGGAAGGGGACAATTAAAACCATTATCTCAGTTGACATTTATTAAGCACCTACTGTGTGCCGGGACACATGTGATGAACGCATCCCAGTTGACTTGCCAGTTTTTAGCACTGAAAATTCAGCATCCTGGAATTCCCCAAGTCCCAGACAACCTGGGATGGTTGGTTACTCGACCCTTTGCTAGGCACTGATAGAAGACAAATTGCAACCTTAATCCCCATCATCAAGAAGCACCAGGCTAAGAGAGAATTGGCAAAGTAAGGCAACCATCAGCTTGGAGAGATGAGTACCTGGATTGTCGGCAGCGCCCCATGCCGTGCAGATAGTTGAGTAAATCTAGCAGGGTGCCAGAGAATGCACTTTGAAGGAGACAATGCCTGAGCTTGATTTAAAGAATGAGCAGCACAACAGTCACAGTGAAATTTTACACTATGAAAAGAGAAGATGCCTGGGGACAGACAGCAGGCCGCTGCATTCTGAGTCTCAGTACCCTTACATCTGGTTTAGATCCCACGGCGTGAAGGTGGGATTTTTAATGTGGAATAAGCAAAAGGGAGAATATTCATTTTCACTGGGCTTTAATATGACACAGAATAAAACTGACAGTGTTTCAGTCCCAAAGATGGTGACTGTTTTCTGAACAACAAATAAATCTGTAATACCTATTTTTCCCCCCAGAGGTTTGTGTTAAAAAGAATGGAAATGAGTGGTTTGGGGTGGTGGCCCTTATTAGAGATTAGGGACCCCAAAGTAGATACCATGAAGAACAAATAAAATGTAAGGAAGTGTTTCTTTTTTTGTTTTTTAGCATTTTTTAATTTTGAAAGAAATTCAAACGTACAAAAAACTTGCATTTTAAGACTAAATTGCTTTATAGACTCTTCATTCAGATTAATCAGTTATTAAAAGTTTGCCCCATTAACTTTCTCTCTCCTTTACACATGTATGTATTTACTATTACTGAACTATTACAAAGCAAGTTGTGAAAATCCTGCTCTTTTAACTCTAAATACTCCTGCATGTATCTCCTAAGAACACTACATTATCCTGTATTACCCACCCAGTGTGATCTGAGAATTGGGAAATTTAGCAAATGACAATATTATTATCTGAGAGTCAGTGTACAGATTTTGCCTCCTATCTCAGTAATGTCCGTTACGGCCGTTATTTTCTGATGTAGTATTCCAATCCAGGCTTGTGTGTCCCATTTGGACACGGTGGCTCTTGTTCTTAATCTGAAAGAGCTCTTTCTTCAGTGTCTCTTTTGTCCTTTGTGAGTGACATTTTGGAATAGAGTCCGGCTGTTCTTTACAATGTTCCTTGGTCTGGGTTTGTCTGATGTGTCCTTATGATTAGGTCCATATGAATTTTGGCTGCCTAAGTGATGTCTTTCTTGGCACATCACATCGGGTGGTACACGATATCAATTTGTCCCATTACTCTGATCACTGGGTGAAGGTACATCCTGTGCCAAGTGTTTGCACTGTAAAACCACCAGCTTTCCTTGTGTAATTAATGTGTAATCTGTGGGAGGTGCTTTGGGAATGTGTAAATATGCGCATCCAATGTTTAGCCAGGGTTCTTTGCATCTGTATGAGTTTTCTAGGGATGCCCTGATAGTTTAACAAACTGCCTGGCTTGAAAGGACAGAAAGTTATTGTCTCACAGCTCTGGGGGACAGCAGTCTGAAACAAGGTGGTGCCAGCAGGGTTGGTTCCTTCTGAGGTTGTGAGGGAAGGGTCTGTTTCAGGCCACTCTCCTTAGCTGGTAAAGAGCCATCTTCTTCCCGTGTCTTCACACCATCTTCTTCCCGTGTCTTCACACCATCTTCTCTCTACAGCCATCTCTGTGTCCAGATTTCCCCCTTTGCATAAAGACGCCAAATTGAGTTAGGGGCCACCTTAATGTCTAGCTTTCACTTCTTTACTTCTGGAACGACCCTGTCTCAAAATCAGCTCACATTCTGAGGTACTTTGAGTCCAAGAATACCCATCTGTGGGACACGATTCAACCCGTAACTGGTACACTGTATCCCTCCATGGACTTTCCCAGGGTTTGCCCAGACAGAACAGGATATCGTGAACCTCAGTGTTCATGATGAAACCCAAATGGCATTGACTCCTGTCCCTGTTTTCCACAAGTCAGTGCTAAGCCTGAAATCACCCAAGATGTCAGGACCGAGCTTCTTCTGCCGTCCGTCTTCAGGGCTGTGCACTGTACACTCGTTGGTATTTAGAATGACTTTCTCTTCTGTGCTGGAGACTTTCAAGTGGGTTTGGTTTGCTGTTCACCAGGCGAGTACAAGCCACGTGAGCCTGTCAGTGCACCAGAGCAGAGGTCACCAGCAGCTGAATTCTTGACGGTATTTATTTCTTGCAGAAACAAGTAGTCCATTAGGGAAAGTGGCTTGTCTCTTGGAATGTTGTTTTGGAGCCTGTATCTGATATCCAGGCAAATGAATTCCAAAGCATATACTCAGGGTGTTTGCAATAGAGACTCCAGGCAAGGACGAGGGACCTGAAGGCGGGTGAGATGCTTCCAAAGGGTGGAAGGTCAGAAAAGAGGAAGAAACAAAGAGCCAGTGACCTGAGAACTCTGTGCTGGGAGATGAAGGAAGATGGGGTGGGGCACGTTCCCTGCAGTTTGAGGTGTCTTTCTCTTCAAAATGCTAGTTCTGTGACCTTCACCTGCATGACATCCTTGTGTTGGAATGAGCAAAGCCTTAGAAAGACATTCACTGGCTTCCCTTGGTTTCTTGACCAGGTCACAGACATAAAAGAGAAATTGAAGCTCTCTAAAAAGGTCTGGTCGGCATTACCCTACGCCATCTGCAAGGACGAGCGCGTGACAGCGGGCACTTCCAACGAGGAGGAGTGCTGGAATGGCCACAGCAAAGCCAGGTGAGGAGACGCGATGTCCAAATGGGGCACCACACACTCCCCCTGGAAGACCCCTGGCACAACTCCGCAGACCTGTTTATGCAAAAAGCAATGGAAGGTGGAAGGACACTGTCACTCAGCAACAGTTGTTGAGAATGACAGGTTTGATGGGCACCTGGGAGCACTGACTCTCAAGGTGCCATTAAGCTTGGAATCCTTGCCCTGGATGCCTCGCCAAGGGATGGGGACAGAAGGATGGTGACAGGTGCCAGGTTACACATAGCCGGAGAGCACAAAGAGCCCTTTTGTGTTCACTTAATGACTTTAAGATAGCAGAGCTATTTTTATCCATAGTTAAATTTACAGAGCCACTTTTACTCTTTCTTCCCCCATCGGGAGTTAAGCAGGAAATGAAAATTCAACTGGAATATTTATTTATTATTTATTTATTGGCACCCTTGGAGGAAAATAAATCCAAGTGTTTACTGAAAAGATTTTTTTTTAAGTGGCGAGGGATATCTGGGTGAAATATTTAATAGCCCTCGTGTCTTGGGGAGTCCCCTCCAAACCTCCCCGGCACCTCCTGATAAGAGATGGTTCTTTTTCCATCTTCCTGCCCTGCCAATCCTGGCCAGGACCACTTCATAAGGAACTGCTGCATGTGTGGGTTCATCTCAGAAATGGGCGAGGCCTGGGTTCTCACAGGGTGGAGAAGTTGGATGGGGAACTGGCTGGGAGTTGGCAGACAGAACCAGAGGAGGAGGATCTGCCAGAGCCCAGCTGCAGGTGAGTGAAGCAGCTGGTAAACTGGACTCAAGAAACCTTTGGGGGTTGAACAGCGGGTGGAGAAGCCAAGAGGGGACTCTATTCTGGGGTCTCTTGGGCAGTTTCAAATGTTTGAAGCAGCTGGGATCCGAAGGGAACAAGAAGGTACGTTTGGGAGCCTCCACGGAAGGTAAGCTGGAGCGCAAGCAGGGCGAGGTAGGTGTCATTTCCCACACTGCTGCCTGGTGCTTTTCAGCCTCCATTGGTAATGGTGTTATTAACCACAGCAGGAAGAGCTCAGTTAGCCAGGTGAAACCCCCACACCTACAGAAAGAGTTGCCCAGAATACCACTATCCAAATCTTGGATCACAGGAGTACAGAAGGAAATTCCTGATATTAGGAATGTGCCATTCAAAAATGTTGAGAATTGTAGTGTCTGGCCATTTAAGGAGACCTCTGGCCACACTCCAGCTGTGAATGGACGGCTCTGAGTGTTCTTTTCTCAGTGGCTCTACAGAAAGCCTGGAAAGGAGCAGGTGACCTGATGAGCAAGTGCTGGATTTTTCCAGCTGCTCTGTTGCCCCTCTGCGTTCACCCTTCAGCCCTGGCTAAAATGAAGGCTGTGTTTTGAACTGCATTCACATAGACAGTCATGCATGTTGCTGGATCTTAGCACATATGTGGTTTCTTACAAAAGGAAATAATCATGATTGTGGGTAGTGGGAGTGACTAAACACCATCAAGAGAATGAGTGGGAGCAAAGACCATTGAAGAAGAGCGACAGATCACCTTACCTCTTAAATAATCAGCCGCTAAATACCCCCTCCCCAGGCTCAGTGAAGAAATGAGATGGATCCTTATCTCTAGAAAAGACTGAGTGGGTTTACATCATTCATTCAGCTCCTCTATTCATCAGCAATATCATGAAGTGAGACACCACCTATAAGATTATAAGATGCAGGTACTATAAAATGGTAGTGGGGTCAGTGTGTGAAAAGGCACGGTAACTAGAGAGAGGACAGGGGTCCGGGAGGTCCAGGAGAAGACAGAGATCCAGTACCATACCACTGAATTGCAGGTTTACCATATAGGAGGGTAAATACTTGAATCAGTACCTAAGAGCCACATTTTAATTTTATCCTGTGACCAACAAGAAACATTAGAGGATTTTATACAGTGGAGGAAATGACTAAAGTTTAATGCAATAAAGTCACTTGCAGAAATATTCCAGAATTTAACCCAATACACTGTCCCTTTCATTATGCAATAAGTATATTATTTAAAAAGATGAGGCTGTCAAATATTTGTGACTCAAATTGTGTTCCCCTTGAAAAATTACAATTTTATGCTTCCTTTTAGTTCCTATTTTTATTCTTCTGCTGAAAGGAAGTCTTAATATTACAACTTTATATTGACTAGCAGAGTAAATAAATAGCCAATGAAGACTTGTTGAATTAAATTTAGCTGAAGTTTTCTTCTCTTGCAAATAATTGATCTAGAAGCACAACGAGATAAGTTTCTCAATTAAAGAAATTCTACTGAACTGTTTTGAAAGTTAAAGAATCCATCTGATCATGAGAGGTTAATCAATGGGTGCTAAGTTACTATTAGAAGAAATAGATTCTGGTATGTTCTTACACAAAAAGGTGACTGTAAATATCAAAATGTATTATGTTTCTAAAAAGCTTGAAGAAAGGATTTTGAATACTTTCACCATAAAGAAATGAGGAGAAAGATATGCTTACCCTGATTTGAACATTATATGTTTCCAAACATCACATGGGACCCCATAAAGAAAGCACAACTTTTATGCATCAATTAAAAAATAAGAGTAAAGAATTCATTGTAATGCAGATCATTACATTTTCCCCTACTTTTGAAGTATAGATTTTAAAATGACAGACATTTTTAAATGTTTATGAATAGCTGTAAAACCAAGAAAAATGAAGTAAGAAAGGTTATTCTTATCTCCTGAGTTAAATGAAAGAAATAGAAACTTTATTTTTAAAAAAATAAAAAAATCTATCGACACATTCATGGATATGGACTAGAGTCATCTCTAAGGATTGATGGAGTGTCGTGTCCGGAGTTTATGCATGAGAACCTGTGTACTGAGGTCTCCCATGAGCCAGACAGTCTCCCTGTCTATATGTTTCATCCATCAGACTCTCAGGCACATTCTCCATTTGTACCACTCCTACAGCCCTTTTGTTCTATGTATTTGATCAGGCTTGTCTTCTGTCACCCATAGTTTCCCAATTATTTTTTGTATTCTCCTCCCCAGGTGTTTCCCATATTTCCTTGATTCAGAAAGATGCCTATTGCAGATGCTAATGTTTCTGAAATCAAAATGACTCCTATAGTGGATATGTCCATTTATTCTAGTGATTACCTTATTTTCCCAGAAAGCTATGATTAAATTAATGGTACCTGCTGAAATTGAGGATGACTTGAACTATAACAGGAAACACATAGATGTGGTAGAGCTGAAACCATAGGGTGGCTGAAAATAGTTTGTAAATTCTAGAACAATGCTGCTCAAACTTTGGTGTACAGGCTCAACTCTTGGAAACCTTGTTAAAATGCAGATTCTGATTCAGTAAGTATGGCAAGATGAATGTCTGTGTCCCCTTAAAATTCTTATGTTGAAATCCTAACCCCCAGTGTGTCGGTACTTTGAGAGGTTATCGGGTCGTAAGAATGGAAGCCTTCTATGTGGGATCAGTGCCTTTATAAAAAGAGGCAGGAGAAAGACGGTATCTCCTCCCCTCCTCCCCTGTGAAGACAGAACAAGAAGGTTGCCATCTGCAAAAACCAGGAAAAGAGATAGTACTAGACATGGAATCTGCCAACCCCTTAAATTTTGATTACCCCAAACCCCAGGACCATGAGAAATAAGCGTGTATTGTTTAAGCCCTCCAGTCTCTGGTATTTTTGTTATAGAAGCCTGAACTGACAAAGACAAGAAGTTCAGGTGGGACCTGAGTAAGAATCTGCATTTCCAACAAATTCCCGAGTGATGCACTTATTGCTGGTCCAGGAACCACACTTTGAGTAACAGGCTCTGAGGCAGAGTTGCCAGAACTGGAACTTTAAAATACTAGATGAAAAATGGAACACACTTATACTTAAAAAAAAATCCACAGTGTATGTGAAATTCAAATTTAACTGGCAGCCCTGTGTTTCATCTGGCAGCGCTACCCTCAGCTCCTATCGACATGTAAGATATTCCCTTTCTCAGTTCTCACACCAGCCTCCAGGAGCATGTCCCAGTTTTCTGGTTTTTTTCCCTTTGCCTTCCCAGGTACTTTTGATGTTAGCTTTAGACTTTTCTTGTATTAAAAACAACAGCAATATAGGCAGGGAGATCACATAGTTCAGTTGTGTGTCACCCACTGGGTAGAGGCAAGGTTGACATCATCTTGACTGAAAATTGCTTAGGCTTCACAAGTGCATCAAGAGAGAATTTAGGTTGGAAATATAGCCGAACCTTCACAATGCAGGGTAGAGTTCATACAGACTTCTGGTCTCAAATGGTCCATTGTGATGACTGGCAAGAATAACTTTTGATTGCTGAATCGTTGGTCAGTACTTGAGTCAATGAATATCTTAGTCAGCTCTAGATGCTATAACAAAAATACCATAGCTACAGAGGCCTGAACAACAGAAATTCACTTTGCACAGTTCCAGAGCCTGGGACATTTAAGAGCAGGGTACCTTCAAGGCTGGGTTCTGGTGAAGGATCTCTTCCTAAACATCCTATAGATAGCCACCTTCTTCCCCATCCTCATAAGGTGGAAAGAGAGAGGTCTCTTCCCTTTCTCTTCTAAAGGTACTAATCCCATCACAGGGCCTCGAAACTCATGACTTTACCCAACCCTAATTATCTTCCAAAGACCCACCAAATAAATACCACCACACTGGAGATTCGGTGTTTACCACACTGATCTTGGGGCATGCAACATTTGTTTTGTAGCAGTTGGGACTTATAATAATCACATCCCACTCATCAGAAGAGTTAATTCAGGATTTTCCTTAGAATTCACAGCAGCATCTGTCACCTGAGAAAGGCAGCATCAGACGCATCTTCAGTGACCAGAAGGAAAGTCCATTTGCAGGTGTAACTTCTACGTCTCCCATTTTCCACTGACCTAAGCAACGTCTTAGGGGGAAATGGGAGAAGACACAGGAGCATTCTGACTCCACACAGACAAATAGGAACTGAAAAGAAGCTAGTAAGTTACAGAGGAAAAAT